GATCAGTGTTTCGGTTGTCTAACTGGTTGTTTTCTTGGTTACGGGCAAACGTACCAGTATGCACATGTAATATTAAGAATCTTGTGCTCAATTTGACATTGTTTGCGCGAAAAACTGGTCGTACATTACTCCGTTAGTCTGGTCACCGATGAGGAGCGGATGGTACTGATTTCTGATCGCAACGGAAGCAGTTCTGATGAACGCATGATGACCTCTCGTATTATTCATAACCACAAGTCTCCTCCAAAGACAAAGGCGAGAATTGTGAAAGTGCAGAGCAGCGCTCAAAACCAACCTTTTCCTCAGAACCCGCATAAAAAGCCGCCACGTGATGTACTGACAAATTTAAGTGCAAGTTAGCTGTGCCATTGTTCACCACTTCTCTGCAATTACAACCCCAGAAAAGCAGGTTGAGAATGTCCTTCTTAGAGAAATTCAACAAAGAATGCATAGTGGCCCATAACAAGTAAGTTTAGTTCTGCGTTAGAGACTCGTTTGTGCGGGTTAAATCCATGTAATGTTTTTTCCAAATAACGCGGTCCTTTAATCATCTGCTAAATTGCATTGTATTGTTTTGCGATTTTAACGGGGCAAAACGCAGTTAACAATCAATATATGAATCCATTATCAGTTGGCAAGATGTTGATTATATTATAACTTACCACTATTTTCTGCTACCTTGATTAAAACAAACTGCTGATTTACATGGTCAGGTCTCACGCACGATTAAGTAGCTTCTCACTTTTAGTTTTTTTGCAAATATCCCTAAACTGTGTTGAACAACTGCCCTGCCACACTCCTTTCCGAATATTAAGTAGCAGAAGTAACACTTTTAGGCATGTCTTTGATACTTTCTCAAAGGCTTGCAGCCAGTATTCAAGAAAACCACTTAGGAATCCTACAATCTCGTGAACGCTCACATGTTTGCAGCCTGGAACCAATTATTCTTCACAAGCCCTCTGCATCTTTTTGATTGGATGGGACAGTGCAAATATTCAACTATCAGGTCGCATACAATTCGCTTCGTTTCCCCAAATTTCCAGTTTTAATAAAAGATGAATTTTAAGCAGATTAGTTGAATGATTATGTCTGTTTTTTCCCACCCCTATGCTATCGAGCGTAAGAGTAAAAATACAAATCTTGTCCACTGACATTTAAACTCACCCGCCAATAAAGCGCTACCTGCGTCTTGTCTTTGAAGGCTCCGTGCTCTTCACGGATGTCGTCCGCTGAAGTATGATCAGGAGTTGGCGCGACAGGCCCAAAAGCACGCTGAGTACCTCGCTCTAAAACGCCGAATGATCCACAGTGTTGCCCTCGACTACGGCGAGAATATTGCCAAGAAGGTCGGCACATCGGACTTCAAACTAACAGGTAAAAGTAATGTTTAAATAAAAGTACAGCCACAAATCACAAATTTACGCTCTTTTAAATGAATCAGTGCTTTATTTTAAGCAGTAAAAAACTTGCTTTTTTGTTTAAATAGGACCTGAAGCAACCCTCATGTGGTATAGCGAAATTGAAGACTACGATTTCGACGGAGGTGACCAAGTACAATGTGGTGGGTAAAAGTAATCGAGGAGCATCTATTACCTATCTTAAATTTTTAAATCTTAATTTTGATTCAATGCATTTTTTACACGCAATAATTCAGCTGCCTCAAATATAAATTTGACAGAATTATGGCCGCTTAATGATCACAGTAACTGTGTGTATGTCAAAGCTTACGTACCCAAATTAGCCCAATAAAACAATTACAGTATGTTTCGGTAGGGGAAAGATTAATGCTAATAATGATGTGCTGCATCCTTCAAAATTCATGCATTTCCAATTCCAGAGGATTTCGTCATATTCCTATTAAACCTCAATGCATCGTGTCACTTTTGGATTTTTAAAACCTAAATTTGCATTAGCCTTTTACCATCTCATTATTGTCTTAAAACAGTGCCTAAAATATTTGCAAATCCCTAAAATGATTTTGAAGATTTCTTAATGCTTTAACTGCTTCTTTTCTAATAGTGCGCATACACTTCTTTTGCTCTAAAGAATGTGATTACGTTTTCGCCAAAATGTCGACACACTTTTCATTGTTATTTATCTGTTGTGCAATTGTGATTCACAAAGCCCAAAATTCAACATGGTTTTCATTTGGTATAATGAATGCCAATAATTTTGACCATGATGCCAACAAATCTGTAATTTTTTTGTATTCGTCAACAAAAATTAAGCCATATCTCTCTTGAAGGCCACTTTACACAATGCGTTTGGGCAGATACGGATCGAGCGGGATTCGGGTTCTCAAAAACACGAGAAGGTGATGTAGCCATCGTCGTCGGACAGTACAGGCCGCCAGGAAACTTCTCTGGGGAGTTTCAGCAAAAGGTGCCTCGCCCAATCAGTGGAAAGATTGTTGTTCCAACTTTGAAGGAATTAAGTAGTGACTAAAGTTCTTAGGTGTATCAATTCAGACTAGATTTAATAAACATTTCACAGCTCGTAAAACACTTTTTATTAACGGGGTTTTTGCATTTGTCTCTTCACCATTCAGTATAGACTTGAGGACGCATGATCAATGATGATCTTCATGACTTATACCATGGTTGTACACTTCTTATAAGACTTAGGAATTTAAAACGTCTGTATGTGTTTTAGACTAAATTCAGATAGTCTGTCTATTATAAAACTGCTAAATTATTAAAGTATCTTAAAGTGAAATCACGTCCAAATTGCAAGAAAAATATTTCTAAATCACAATGTCGTATCTTGCCCGCAGTCTTCGATATATAAAATGTGCAAAAGATAATATAAACAAAAAGGTGCTGGAGGTGTTAAAAGCTGATATCACACAAAGGAAATTGCCAAATAAATCCTCAAACTATTGCTGAGTACCATAACAAAAATGATAAATTTGGTTATGTGCGTATAAATATCTTAGGATTTAATATTTAACGACAAAAATATATGTGCTCTAGTTTGTGAACAAATGCGTTTATAATTTATAGACAAAAAGTTAGTGGATATTGGTCATTTCATTCTGACAGCTACTTATTCGATTTCTAGGAATTTGCCTTGGATTCTGAAAATATTCGTGATTTATAGGATAACAATATATTCAAATTTTTCTAAGAAAAGACATTTGTATTGTAAAAGACCAGTTTACCTTTGCTTTAAAGACGCAATTTAGAGACATATGCAGAGATATTTGACAACAAACAAGTTATTTAAACACCACGTAGGAAGGTTATTCTAGATGTCTCAACAGTAACTTTATGTAAACATAAAAAGGTGCTAAGTTATAAGTAATTTATTTTATAAATTTTTCTTTGAAAAAATTTCATAATATTTTGTCGTTATATCGATAATATAGACAAATAATAATTTGTGTTTATTTAATTGCACCGTTGGTGCGACAATTTTGTATCAGCTGAACCTAACAAATAAAAGATGGACCACTGACCTTACATAATAATTCTGAATTTCTGGGAAGGAATGCTTTAATGTAATAAACCAATATGCATTATTTCGGAAGTTTATTTTTCAAACTTAATTTACATATTAATAAGCACCGCCCAATTTAAAAATGCTGTAATCAGTCTTTTGGCTAGTGCTTCTCGATTTTGATTCGCTTGACAGTTCGTTGTTTTAGTTTCCTTTTTTTGTCGAAAAGCATGGTCGCCTAGTCGAGAAGCCATGCATTTTTATGTAGCTTCCTGTTCCATTATATCATGCCTCATAAACTTAGGTGGCTTTTAAGGGTTTTTAATCATTGGCCTCTCTATTGCGTTAGGTTTTAAGATGTAAACCTTTTACCTGTGAAATCTACGAATCCCAAGTATAAAAACCGCCTGACTTAACCTTCATGTAGACCATTATTTCATTTAGTCACCTCTCGTAAACTAAATTTTGATCAAACGTAAGAGATTATGTCGGTGTAATTGCTATGCGGAAATAATATCCGACGCACACCTGCGGACATTTTTTACGGTTGAGGTATTTAACCTCTTAATATTTTCTTTCAACTTACGGCTGCAGCGACTATCGATGTGTCGTAAACATCCTGGAATGGGTACTTTTGTCTACCAAAATCCTACTTCTCCCTGTAACTTTCGGTCATTATCCTATTAAGAACTTAAAGCCTAAATTTTTTGGTCAACGTTGATTTCTCGTATCACAGCTTGTTAGGTGTTTCGCTTCATGTTTTGGCTTTGTTCTAATTCTACGACTGAACTTTTAAGGAATGGTGCTTGAACGTGTTTGTTCACTTGAATGTGCATCCTTTCGGAACTCTGCACCTTTTGTAATGCTTAGTAAACGTGTTTAAGTCGTTTTGAAATCCAATCTTTATTACCACTTATATGCATGACTATTAACAGGGTTATGCAAATAGCTGCTTAATACGGCCTTTTATTAAATACACTTTGACTGATCAGCTCTAAGTTGTGTGCCTTTAAGTCGTTAAGTGCCACCAAAAAATTAGTTCTGTTTTTAACGAAGTTTGTTTCAATTGTATTCGTGTATATTTTTGAATGTGCTTTCTTTAAGTTCGTCTGGATGGTACTTAGTTCTAAGAATTACCCCTTATTCACGCTTTTTGCCGACTCTCGGAATTATTTATCTGACGAGCTTATTACCACGTATGTAAAATCTAAATTTTTTTCTCCCATCAAGTTATGTGGAAAATTTTCGCCGGTCTTTGTGTCCGCCGACCTGCTGTGGTCTCTCCAGAGCTTTCGCCGTTCCAGCGTCGTGTTCAGGATTTACTCACCGAAATGGAGTTGGAGAAGAGCCACTTGTCCGCCCACGAGGTGCGCCACCGCAACGACCTTGAGCGGATGGCCCAGATGTTAAAAGACGGACACGATGTCAAAGCCACTCACAAATCTGAGGCGTCTAGCTCCCTTTTGACAGCGAAGGATATGGAAATCACCTGGAAAGCCTTCGAAAACGAATTCTGGGAGCAGATTGGCGATGTAGGTCAGTCCGTTTTGGTTCCTATCCTTTTGATTAGCCGATCCGTCACAATCGATCGGAGTTTAAAACACGGTGTCGTTCATTTGATATTTACCACTGTCAAAGTCCCGTTTGCTTGGAGTGTCCGTAGTCCTTTTTAAGCTACTAAATACATGACCCCCACGCGAACCATTTCTCCCCCTACATTTCTTTAGGTAGGCACTCTTTCATTCCCATGGACACGTTGAGAACCACTAAACGATCGCGCACTTGATTCATTAATTGGTAACTGACAAACCCCTTTCGAGTTGTAGTCTAGCTTTTCTCGTCAACCCAGAATGTTATTCTGTCCCTGACTTTCCAAATGTTTCCCTAGGAAACATGATAAACTCTTTTTCATTCCTACAACGAAAACTGTGACTCCCCCCCCCTAATTCATGCCACTTAGTGAAGCCAAAACCTTTTTTGTTTGTCGCAACTCCTTGTTGGGAATGTAGTAAAATTTCACCTTTAGGGATGCACTTTTCATTTGATTACTTCTCATTTTTAATCATTTGAATTATTCCTCAAGTCGACATGAATTGTCTACCACATTCATCGTTCCCTTTCTCGGACGTCTAGCTGTCGGGCAAGTGCTACCAGCCACCGGTGTCACGATCGGTTCAAATCCCACCTGCCTTTTTTCATCTAGGTGTCAGTGACAAGAGCACCAAAGAGGGTTTAACTGCCACTGCGTGGCGGAAATTAGACCGCAGCTTGGTTTTGGTGACTCGTCAACGACTTGGCAAATGCCTCGATTGGGGTTTGCCAGTTCTTGAAGTCACTGGTGATGATACTCTACGATCGGTGAGTTCCTAATTTTTACTATGATGCGTCAACACAACTTCCTGTCCCAAAAACCGCTTCGTGAGCATTTGGAATCAATTGTTCCAGGTCAAAATCTCCAGTTTAACAAGTTTACCGCCAAGGTTTCTGTCTTAGATTTAGTAAAAACGCCACAATACCTTTCTTAGTGTCAAAATTCCAGAAAGTGACCACCACTAGGTTATGTCAGAACCTGAAGGCATTCATTCCACTTGTTGAAGCACTTTTTGCGATCGTCGATGGACCTCGTTTTAGGTATTCAGTTCTCTTGGTAATAGTTTCGGTTATTGAGTTCGAATTCTCTTTTGCAGGTCGTAGAACATCTTGCACAAGAACTCCTGCCACCGGAAGCGCGTTGCACAATTGTCGGAAACGCTCCTATTGGTATGCACAAGTACTTTTACCGGACAGAAGATGGCAAGAAACAGGGAGTCCAAGTAAGTTTCCCCCGACCCAGGCATCTCAGAAATCTCGTGATTTCCGATGCCTGACTAGAGAGCAGCGTTGGTAAATTCGTCTGTGCGTCGATTGCACCTAATCCCTAGACTCTTCTCGTGGCATTTGTCTAGGACTCCACCAGAAGCAATCTGAATAGATCACTGATCAGCAGTGTGCTAAGGCTTTCATCCAATGAAATGTGGCCTACGCTTTCGCCAAAACCAACGACAACTTGTCTATCAAGCGACTCATCCTTAGATACCCTTTTTTGCAATGTCGGTGCTGACGCCATTTGGCTCTAGTTGAATGTTTAGTGTTCGTGGGTACCAGCCTTCTACGCTGCATTCTTTATCTCTAAAACCCCGTTTTTTACTGCCTAGATGTACTTTTTGAACGCATATGTAGACAAACTCTGGCACGGAGAAAATGTGAATGTGGATGGGAAGTCGGAGAGTTTTGCATGGTCAACCGTGGACGAGTTGAGCAACTATCTGACTGACCGAAGCTTTCTCAAACGCATCAGGACGTTTGTAGTCGACTATTGACCCCGAAACAACTCACTGCCCGCCCTAAACCCACTGCCTCGCCCCCACTTGTACAGTGCCTTTATCTACATTCGAATATAGCAGGTGTGTAGTTGACTCCTTCATGTTGCGTTGGTGTACCAACTCCGATGCTTCCCACGGTAAGTTTGCCCACATTGGAATGCTATGGGCGTCTTACTGTCCCTATTCAGTTGAAACCAATTTGTAAATTCTGGCAGCTGATTTTCCAGTGCTGGGTTTGCTAGCATTACTTCCCTCTGCGTTCAGTGTTAGCGTACTTCCGGGGTTGGTAGATGTGGAAAGCCACCGTTTCTCTGCACTTAGGTGTCTTGCTTGTCTTGACAACTCGTCCTAGGGCCGACTTGTGCTTCGTTTCGGTTTATCTCTGCAGATTCCTCCTGAGATGCTAGTAGTGCATCATGTTGATTCCTGGACGTGACCAGGGGACAGATTTTGAAGGTTTGAATCCAGCTCATTTTCGGTTTCTCGCTGTCAACCTAAGACCGTCCACGAAGCAATTGATAATCAACAGGTGCAGGGCTGGGAGAATTCGGTGGATGGATTAGCATGATTGCAATTCAACAGTTCTAGTAGATTGCTCCGCCATAAACCCAATAGTTTTTTTTAAACGAATTCCCCTTCTCGGTCGCCAGCCTCTCACACGTCTTTGCCACCGGTAACAAGTCTGTCCAGTGGCGATGTTTGACGTTGTCGCAAAAGCCATGATCCGTAACGAGCGACTCGCTGTTGCAGATTCTTTTGGGGACAGTTCATTTTCCAATCACCGAGACCCTCCCAATCCCCCTTCTTGCGCTTCATCCCTCGAAGTTGTGATGGAATTTTCTGTGAATTCCGTCTCCAAGCGTTTGGCTAGTCGTTCAGCATGAAAGGGTCCACTTCGAAAACGGGAAAGCCGTCTTCTGCAAGTTCCTTTGTTTACCACATTTCATCGCCACAAGCAATCTGATTTTGCTGCTTATCCTACACCGGCACCTTAATGAGACTTATCCAGTAAACTCCCCCCCTAATCTGATCTTTATATGAAATAAGTGTGGATGTCGGTAACCTAGACGAAATTGGTATAAATTAGCTAACGCGACATTTAAGATTACAATGGGACGAATTATTGAAAAGTAATATCTCTGACATAATAAGAACGGGCATTACCAATCCACCAACTTGATATCACCATCGCGGTGAGGTCCGTAACTTGCACATTCTAGAATGATTTAAGACGTTCTTCGAGGACCCCTATGCCGACTTCGCGTTTGCCATCGGATTATTCCGCAAAGTGGTAGACTTTGTTAGATTGCTTCGTTTAAGACTTCAGCTCGGTCGCTGCGTCAACAAGCCCTTCCTAACACCTAATGTCTGATTTCAACGTCCTCAATCTTCATGAAATCGCCGAGGAGACGCTTCGGCAGATTGCAACCACATATTTATCTGTTTCGTGAATACCTTGATACGCGTCTTAGCAAATTCAAGAGGTACCTTGGCTAACTCCGTTTCCTCACTTTGTAATTGCCACGGTAACTTCAAAATGTTGATGATCGCATCTTCAATTGTGAGTTCACACCAACATGCCTTGGGTTTGATCAAGTCAAATCATCGTCTATGCTTTAACATGTGAACGAACTACCCGTGGGATGAGTAAATCTTATTGCGCGTGCGTCCCCCACATCCAGTCAAATCACACTCCACTCATCCCCAAGGCAGTGTTCGGTGCAAACCATGATTATCACTTCAAGGGAAACATGGCTCTAATCACCCACCCTAGTAAGCCCTTTCCTTCCAGGTGACGTTTTCTTTAAAAAAAACTCGTAGAAAACTAACGCCGGATAACTCCTGGGATGCAAGATAGATCGAGGTAACGACTCCTCGGAATGCTGACACTTCCTTCCTTGTCCAACACCAAAGAAAGCCCTGCTATCAAAACAGTATAGTTTATCTACACATTGGCAAGATTTTAGCGTTTCTGCCTTTTCGTGGGGCCTTGCTGCCGCTGCAGCGGCTTCGACGGCGGTCGCTTTCCAAATGCGGACTGTCCCTTTTTGTTTGCAGAAGCAACACCCAACTTGGCCTGCCTCCAGCGCTCGCGGTTAGTTCGGTAGGTTGACGAGGCCACCAGATGCTCCACGAAACGCCCAAACTTGGAGCTTGCCAGTCTCTCGGCTAGGGGAGCCAGTGTCTCGGCGATTTCCTCCTTCGTGGAGCGTCCGGTGGTTTCGGGGAGAAAGGAGTCTGTTGCCCGCCAGACGGCTTCCACGACGCGACTTCCTGACGCATCCATTGCCAGAGGACCCAATTGTGGCTAAAACGAGGGAGCAAAACGCCCAGTAACAGTTTGTACACATGCTGCCCGTTTCACCTGATCCAAGCCAATTAGGCGTGAACTAGAGCCACGACACCTTTCACAGATTCCGCATGGTTGAAAGCGCAAAAAAGAGTGAGACTAGCTTGAAAACAGGGCCAAGGGAGTATAATACAGTGGTTCAGCGTTCTTCTGATTGAGTCGGGTTCTGCATCCGGATTCTGGAAATTCAAACATTTGCAGAAACAAGTTCGCATTGATTTAGGTCTCTGCATACACACACGCCGAGGAAACGGAAGGATTAGCTATCTAAACTAAATTTCAACTCAATGCGTGTTGGTGCCAAACTGACAACTAAAGCAACCAATGATATTCGTACTCTTTGGTCCAATCAACGAACGAAGTGACAACTAGCCCCTTTGTTCAACTTGGTGGGTTGCACGTGTAGAATACCCGAGCCCTAATAGGTAAAAGACCGGTACAACAGAACAGGCTTTATCGACCAATCAGAAGCCAGAGCCACGCGTCAGGCGCCTTCTATCCGAGTCCACCTCGCTGGCCACGCCGCTCATTATATACTGCATCTCATCCATGTCCTTCTCTGGTTGGCTGCCTTCCTTTCCCGCATGCCATTGGATCGCAGAGAGACACAGGATTGGCTGAGGCCAAGTGGTCCAAGATGTCTGCGCCCTAATCCGACACCACACACGTCGAGCGAATGTGGTGGGAAACGACGGTGTTTTAGTACGATAAATCTTCAACCTCTGTGCATCAATTTAAGTAATGTATACTGGCTAGGGTTGGCACGTGGCTAAATGTTTTGCTGAGGCATCTTTCAAGTTAAATATTGCGCCATAATGCTGTTTTCAAACCGCAAAGGAAATCATGACATACAGTTAAGTGAGAGTGTCCATTGTTGACATAGACATGATGTGTTAATTTCAACGTCCTAATCTACAAGAACATGTCTTCCTTCGACGTCTAACCTAACGTCAGCACGCTGGGAACTACAAAGCAGTAAAAGAACGACTTCACGAGTTCTCACCACTTCTGTGAGCAAAAAAAATATGCCGCATTAATTTGGCGGACAAGTCGATTCGCCTAGAAACCCCTTCCCTTGATGTCGGTTTCCCTACTGTCGTTCTGACACGAGAAAATCTCCACACATTGTGCACGTTTCTTGAACTCGATGGACGCCGAGTCAAGGGAGCACATTCAGAAGCAAAGTATTGTTCTCATTTTTAAGAAGTAAACGCAGTTTTCCTAATTCAACCTTCCGCTGAGGGCTGTTTGTGTAAAACTCGAATCGAAAGCGATTGCGAGGACCGGCCAACTGAAACTTGCCTTGAGTGTGGAAAAAATGCGCACTTTGCGTTCGGCGGGGACGGAGGGCGAGAGCAGGGCCGCCTCGAGCACACGATGCAGCATCTGATGGCGCGCCCAGGCGAACATGTCGGGACCCGCGAGGCACGCCAGACTGGCCGCAAGACGCGTCGGCCGGTGGTAGGTGAACGTGAGCATCTCCTCCGCGAGCAGGCACCCGGCCAGGTTGCAGGACGTCTTGTGCGCATCTTACAAGCAATTTTACAGTCGACTATTAGCAAAGAACGAACGAGATCTTACCCGTGGTCCATCGCTCGCTAGCCTGAGATTGGGCCGCGGCTCGATAAATAAGGCAAAATTTAACTTATTAGGGCCTAAGGGTAGTCACTGGACGTTTCGCAATTTTACAGTCTCTTGGCTTTCGCAGGGAGGTTGGACACGGAAATCCTTCTTACTACCATTAATATAGCTCTGTATTTTGCGACTTCGTAGTTGATCTACCACTGGAATAGCTCTGCGCTGACTGTGAGGCGGTCGTGTGAATTCGACGTTGGGAAGAAAGGCACTTAACACTGGTTTCACTCAATGGGTGATAATTGCAAGACCGTCACAAGTTATCGATTTTATTGCTTTTGTAAGCAGCCTTATGGTTTATAGCATTCGAAGGCGTGGCAATCCAATCTAGGGCAAGCCGTCTTGTTAAAATAAACGTCCGGGAAATAAGAATTAGTTCGAGTCTAAAATGACTACCTGCTGAAGTCGTTCCAACTTCCTCTCCTTCCACCTCGGGGCTAGCAGTGTCCCGTCTCTTTAAGCGAACGATTGATTTGATCAACTGATCATCAGTTTTCTTTGCTTTCAAGGGATATCCAAATGTTTCAAGAATCATCTGCAAGCCAAAATCCAGTTAGAAGTCGGTTTTTAGTGACAGAAAATGCTCATCGTCTTGTGGACTAGTGCAGCTGTCTAGCGAACAATGACTTGGACTCATGAGATGACCTAACAAGCAGGATCACTGGGTACATCATTTTTCGGACACCGCTACTACGTCTAGGGTCGTTTTGATCGCTTCACTCAACACCTTTGTACCTCCATTGAGGGGAACTCACCTTCTCAAACGTAAACTGGACTGCCTCACTGTTTTGCTTACGACTGGCAGTTGCAAGTACGGTGAGGAGGTAATGCTGACCAGAGTTGAGGGCTTCTAGTAATCCCGCGTCACCACTTGGACCCGGTTTCTCAAGGGCAGATAAAATAGCCTGAATATCATCGATCCTTTTGACTGCCCGGACAGCGGCGCGCAATACGCGACACGCGTTTCCATGCCCAGACAGTGCAGAAGCCAGTGGAACTTCGACTTCCCCATCTTCCTTGCTAATGGTGTACGTTAAGAGGTTTTTTCGAATGAGCTTTTGTAGCAACTTCCCCGGAAGAACGCTGATCAGTGTTTCCAAAAAGAAGACGGCCACAGGGTTGGAGAAACCCATTGGAAGTCTAGCAGGTATGATCGTGTGAATTAGTGAACCTACTGGATCTGATGCTGTCCGTGTAAATTCAATGTGTCACCAGTGTCGTTCGGCTTGAGTAAATTCGACTTCCGTAAAATGTGGGAACATATGGACCCAAAATCAGCTTCCAAACACTTCCAACATATAATAAGCAAGGTCTGTAGAAAAGGACTCGTTATGGCATCCACGACAAAGGCTAACTAATTCGGAGGAAGTAAATAAACGCTTTACCGTTGAATTGATCCGAAAGGAGAAATTTGTTGGCGAAATCGGTGATTCGATTTGTGTAGGAGGGATCAAGAGGCTCAGTTAGAGTTACTTTATCGACCTCATAAAGACCGGTGTGAGTGGACTTAGTGATCATCACTCCAGAGAGGAGTTGGATATAGATTCGCAAAGCAGGTGCGCCGTGTGGGTGCTGGAGGAATGTTGGGTAGTTCTCCCACATGAAATCCAAATAATCTGATATACATGAAGAGATGAGCTCATCTTGTCGGAGTTCGGGGTTATTTGCACAGTGGCGAATGGCTGCGTGTAAAACGTGATGGGCGAATTTCGTGTTGAAGACTGAATCCATTTCTTTACTGAAGGCTTTTATAATGCAACCCGTTGCCTCAGCGGTGGCAAATGGCATCATCTTCTCAACGTTGGTCGCGACCTTTCCGTTGGTGCAGACAGACCAACCATCTTTGCTGATTTCGTTGAAGGTTTGCAACACAAAATCGGCTGAGCGAATATTTCAGCATAAAAATATAGGGATAAAATGTAAACTACAGCCCAAATTAAATCCAAGCCGTCTCCGTTATTAAATATCAAGACCAAAACTGGCAAATTTCCATTCAGTTCTTCAGAAAATTTGAAAAATTCGTTACGCAATGCCCAACAAAGTGAAAGTTACAAGGCTAGACAATCATGAGTGGGATTAATAATTGACCAGCGAGCAGTCTCCGGCTAACTTCAGGAATTTAGCAAAATCATGCCTACTTCCGAGGCCACTAGGTGCTAATCCATACCTACAGGCGTTAATTGAGGATTAAATTGTGGCTAAGTGTAGTTACACTTAAAGACGAAAGATGAATTATGTACGAAGTACTGTCTGTACTTCTGCGGTCTAAAAACTTAACCGAGATTGATAATGTAAAAATCAATTATTCATTAAGTTATTCCGGGCAGTAAAGTTGGCACATATTATCAGAACGACAAAGGCAAGAAATGTGGACGTACCTTTTTCCTCAGGCTTGCATTTATGTAACAGAAACGCGGCTCTGTCCTCAAAATATTTTACTTTGCGTGGATCAACGTGTTTAGGAGCCATTTAAATTCGCAGTACACACAGGTTTGGTCACTTGTGAGAATTTGAAATGTACATCTCCACTGAGTGACCTTGATTTGCACTTATAAACCCTTGTGGTAAAATCGAAGGAAATCTTTAGTATCCAAACTCATCAACAAAAAAAAAAACAAATATTTGTTTAATTGGCTTAAAATATTTTTTAAATGTAGCAAAGTGTGGTCCTAAGATGCAACACACGGATTTTGTTAATCTTGATCAAGTTTGGCAAATGTAAGCTTTGGTCTCAAATTCACAACTACCTGGTTTATTTAGTGTAGAATGAAATGTAAACCTAAAGCAGCTTAATACTCTAATCACCTCTACATTAGCCATGATATATTTTGAAAATACTGTCCTAGAAATTTCACTTCTTATCTGGCATGTAGAATTCTTCGGTTATAATCACTACTTTCTTTCGAAAAAACCATTACACTTATGCTTTGCCGTCCAATAAACCTGGTTTTCCTTGTTTAAGTAAGAAATGCCATTAATTTATAACGTCAATATGTTTGACAGATTTCAGTAAATAGTGAACCTTTCCTTTATTACATTTTGAGTATAACAGTCACTTAAGCTTGTGACGAATGCGATCTGAAGAAGGTAACTCATTATTGTAATTAGTAACACAGATATTATAGCACACACATCAAAATAATGCCATTGATAAATAAATTTTACAGGCTCCCTAGATCTTGCTAAATATTTTACCGTTTAAGTGCGTTTTTTTTATATTTGAGAGATCATATTTTGTGCGATTTCATCGAAAGATACGTCTTTCTAATCGACTTGACTTTTGGCATCTAAATAGACAATTAAGTAGATTGTACTATGCTTGAGCGTAGAAATTATTACAAAACCTCTGTCATACTTTCCAGGGGCTGCTACTTTGTCCAGCCGAATTCATAGCGTTCACCTTAAAGATCTGTGTCTACATCATACTTGGCAGTTTTTTGACTATATTATTTCAGCCTATACCGATGTAGAGTTGGTGTTTAAATGAAGGAATGAGTGATTGCGTCGAATTTTTGAATGAAATCACATATTATTAAATTCTTTGCTTCCTGCTCGTCCATTTTCAGAGTCGGAAATTTCATTTACGGTTGCAATTTCTTTAGAATAGAATGTTTCAAAGTAGACCTTTCGGCCATTATTATCTAGACACGGTGAAAATTAATAAACGACATGTTTTCGGAGGACTTGTCAAAGTAAGCAGAGCATCACACATGCTGGGATTTGCTGAAACTACTTAATTGACACAAGAATTGTAAACAATTCTTGTTTACGAAGCTTTGGTTCAACCCAAAGTAATCTGAAGCCGACATTTGTTTCCCGCTCTACCGGCCGTATAAACAAATTGTGGCCAATCGACTGGCATTTTATAGGTTTTGACACTTGTTGTGCTCCAGACGCTAAGTCTTTTCAATTAAGTACTGTAGATCTCATCCTATTAATTCTACGTTTTGCCAATTTTATTCTAGACCATTCGTCCCAGTAAGGCTTACTCAAAATTGCTACCTCAGAACCGAAACGTTGATTTCGCTAAATTCCGACCAGTGAAGCGACAACTGTTGGCCAATAGAAGAGGCAGTTTATTCGGCCATTGTAAAAGTACTTTTCACTTTAACTTTGAAAATTTATTTAGTCGGGTCCTTATATCTTCCAACTGGCATTTATGTCGAGTTTTCAGAACTCGGTATTGTGTGGGAGTAGAAAATAGTTGCATCATCACTAACACCGTTTGAATCACGCATTCTAAGCTAGAATTATTTTCTGATTCTACGTGTAACTAATATTAAGTCTCGAAAAATATAGACAAACTCGGGCATAACTTCAGCCTTATGACCATGGTCATCATACCAATCTTTAGGCGTTCATCCTCGTTTGCACAGTCATCATCACGGATCTGACTCGATTTCGTCCTTTCCTAATGCCTCCGAAGCATCATGAATTTTAATTAGTAGGATGGAACAAAAAAGACGGGATCACATGTCCTGCTTAAAGTAGCCCACGTAACCGTCTTTCCCAAGTGACCTAAGCCATCTCATGTTACTCCCCTGCTAACTGAGACTAGTATCGCCGGCAGTTGCCCACGCCAGTTAATTGTTTGTTAATCCCCAGTCCGACAACAGGCCATGGACGCTAAAGCCTTAGTGATTAACTAAACGCGCTGTCCTCCAGCTAATAAATGATCGATTGTCAGAGGATTAGCGACCAATGTTGTGCACAGAGTCGTGTCATCTTCGTCGATCGCACACCACCTCAAACCGTCGGACAGCCCACAACCCACTGACGGACCGGAGCACCCTGCCCAAATTCCGTGAAATATAAACCGATGATTCACCTCTCCACACACACCCACACCCCACCCAATCTCCCCCAGCGTTCTCTCTTGCAAAATAAATCAGCACTGCTGCGGATTTATTGGATTCACTTTCACCACTCGACCTACGCAAGCTCCGAAAGTACACTCATGGGTGATTCAGTATCCCGCCGTACGTGGGAATCGTGCCACGTCGACTGCGCATGTGTGCCACTGTTGGTAAAGCAAGACCACGTTGCCTAGTGTAAATAAATAGAATCACATCATTGAGGTGACACGGTTACGCGGTTGGAGATTGTTTTAATGCGGTGTTGCGAAAATGCGCTTAAATCGATACACACTGGAGCTTAGGTAACAAAAATGTAATGTAATGTAATGCATTTACAAGCAATTGATAAGGTGAATTTTGTAAATTTTTTAAACCAACTTTGAGCCCTCTTTTGAAGTTTTGGATTTTCAAGCAACGGAGTGCCACCTCAAATAATTAAATGCACGAAGTATTAAAGTATATATAAGCTGGCTCATTGCCTTTTCTGTTGAACTTGTAAAAGCCGCATTCCAACTGTTCACTGTCCACACTTGTTGTAAATAAATTACCTGTCGTTGGATCACCAGAAGCTACAAATTTCCTCAACCAAATTAGACCGATTGCAAATTAAATTACAGCACTTTGTGCAGTGGTTTAACTTAATAAAATCATTTTATTTGGCGCACAGTTAAAAATCCAGCCATGTTTTAAAGCACAATCGAGTTATTTTCAGTGATTACAGAATCCTACGGGAGTATGGGTTGGACGAAGATTGTCCAATAAGCGGATGAGAATGGCGAATGAATTTCAAAGAATCTGCCTTTTTCGGTGTTAGGGAGAGCTCATTTAAACGAATTTTGACAAGTGCTCGTTTTTGTTTAGCACTTGAACCCGATCTGACTTGTCTGAATCCGCCTTCTCTGGTAGGCATATTTGCTAATTAAGCTTAGGCAAAAGCTAGGAAAACAGCGTCATTAAATTTGGAAGTACGACTGCTGCCACCCAAGTTGGAACACCAAGCGTAATTTGATTGGTCTTTCGTTTCGTGTTCATGCGTTAGTGACGAGGTCTGTGACCTTAGAGACAACTGACCTGAAAATGAATTCCACAACCTAGGGAGGAGTAAGGGAGAAGTCCTTTTGAGTTTCTGGTGGTATTGCACCTTCCGCGTTTCCGCGGTTTCGAAGTAACTTCAAGTGGCTATTGTCTGGTTTCTGCTTTGCGGGGTCAATTTGCGATTTCTATCTCACAGAACTCGTAGGCGTTGTCAATCGGCCCCCACGATCTTTGGGGTGACCTGTTCACCTTTTGATAATAAGGCCCCAGACAGTGGGATTGGCGTGTTAGGTCGCCGCCTTGAAAATGATCAATTGAGGCACACACAATGTGTGTTCGACCATCAAACTGCCAATTCTGTTGTACATGAGCGAATTACAGTAACTCAGTAGACTGCGAAAATTGCAGTGGAATTGTTCCACTATCACATGAATCTAGGATGTTTCACCACTACCACGATTCCTGATGTCCGTTTCAATGGGCTTAAGAAGCATATCTACTCCAGTTATGTGTCATGGGGTTTTCGCCTCTTCTTGATTCGACTAATTTCCCCCTGTCATGGTCTTCCCTTTGAAGACAACTCGTCGTGGAGTTGCGAAATAAACGTCCGTTTTTATTACAACCAGCCTTGACCGGTGGACTAAATTACCCAGGGCGCCATTCGCGCGCAGCATTTGGCGGGTTTTTTGGATGCACGCCAGCCAATCGCCGCACGCGGCGAGGTAAGTCACGCGACCTGGCTCCAAACCTCGCCGCCCATTTGCAACGCCCTGCTGCGAACGTGGCCCACGCAAAATGCAGGCGTGGTGACTCATGCACGTAGTGGGCGTTTATCGCCACAACGCCACTTCCTGTTAGTGCGCAATTATGGGCAGCCTCGTTCCACCCAAGTTGCCATGG